AGGTGCTCATAGGTTAGGAGATTTGAGACAGTTGATTTTCCCTTAACAAAGCCATGCTGCTCATTAATTATAATATTCCTGACACATGGAGATATTTTGTCATAAATTATGGAGTCAAAAACCTTAGCAATAACTGAGATCTTAGAAATAGCTCTATAATTTTTTATATTTGACTTCCTTAAAAACCGGTGTTACATATGACCTCTTCCAGACAGTGGGGAAAATACCCGTGACAAGTGACAAGTTAAAAATTTTACATAAAACACATTTAAAATTTTGAAATAAAATTGCCGGAATTCCATCAGGACCCACTCCTAAGTTAATACTTAAGGACTCAATTTTATTAAAAACTCCTATAGAAGATACACTCAAACTACATAAATTAGTACATTTGTCAGACTTGCAATTTTGATTAATACGGGAGCCCTGCTTTTCTGAATATACAGAAGAGAAATGCTGTTTAAACATCTCTGTGATTATTTGTGGATCATCTCTTAAGACACATGGATTTTGGATATTCAAGATCCTCTGTTGGCCCACCTCAAGATTTGTACCAAAATATGCCTTTATAAACTAAACATGATGAAACTATTTACTTCTAAAACAATTTATTTTCTCAAAAATATTTTAGATACACTCTAGTCGTAAAAAATACATATTTGAAATCACTTAGACCTATAACTAATAGAATATCTGAACAAATAAACAATGTGCGAATAAATGCGCGAAGTTAACAAAGCAACAATTGAAAGATTACCATTGGGTAACATCACCTTTATTTTTTATTACGGCTGAAATTCTTTGGGGCATAGTGTTAACCAAGTTTTGGCAAAAATTTGGTGTAAAACAACCCCATATTTCTTGAAGCTTTTGTCTCAGTTCGGTGATTGTACGAGCAGGATGTTGTCGTACAACCTTTTTCATCTCGTGCCACAAAGTTTCAATAGATGACAGATCTGGACTGCTAGAAACCCATTTCAAAAGTGGTACATTATTTTGTTCCGTCCATTTTATAGCCTTTTTTGAGGTATGGCACGCTGCACCATCTTGCTGAAACACTAAATCTTGACCGGATGTCAAACATTCTTCCATCACTGGTAAAAGCGATTCTTCTAAAATTGCCAAATATTTGTTTGTATGCACATTTCCATCAATAAAATGTAGTTTTCCCACTCCTTTTGATGACATACTGCCCCAGACCATAATAGATGCTGGAAATTCCACTTTTCTCTTCAGGCAGTCAACATGGAATGCTTCATTTTTTTGCGAATAACTCTACTGCGACTGTCACCAACACAAACTTCGAATCGGGCCTCATCACTTCATTGTATTGCACACCATTGTTGAGGTGTCCATTGTCTATGTTCTTTAGCCCATCTAAGCCGATTTTTCTTTTGCAGTGTTGTTAATAGTGGCTTTTCTTTGGCCTATAAACAAATTGTGCAACTTTAGGGTTTTTACTTCACTTTTTTTCATAAGAAAACTTACCTTACAAGTGTTAAATCCCAGTTTGTGGGCCTCTCTATGAGTTGTGGACCTTCCAACAGCGTCACTCCAGAGAGGACTTAATTGTAAATAATTGGCACGCCTGTTTTTCACGATTATTCTTATTAATGCCCTTGGGTCGGCATTTGTGATACTACTTTTTTCACATATCGTGCCTTAATATTAACTGAACCAGTTACGTTATATCTTCTAACAATATTTCTCACACTGTACCGCGATAAGTCTAACAAAGTTGCAATTTCTGAGTTTGATTACCCAGAATTAAAAAAATTAATTATCAGTAACAGAATTCTCTCACTAATAACCTTTCCTCTTCCCATTTTGAAAACCTTAACTACCCAAAACTATTTTAAACGTATTCTGACAGCTGTGATTAATAAAAACAATTGTCATGGCTTTTATTTTTCACAGCCATCTATGCGTTATAGACTTATTTTGCATTGAAATCAAAATAGGTTGATATGCTGTGTTATTTTTATGCTGCAAATTTGATTAGAGAGTGATAAAGTTGGTGTTTTCTACTATATATTATCAAAATATTCATTGTTAATATTTTAAACCTATAACACCCTGCTACATTTTTATTATTTGTGTTTGATAAGAAAAAAACTAAGATTTCAATAGTTGGGCCAGCTGAAGGGGGAAGGGGCTCGTATTGTCACGTTAGTCGGAATCACCCTGTGCACTATACAATAAATTAGAGAACGTACCGGTGTGTGGTCACCTCTGTATCATTTGCAGTTTCCATAGAAGGTAACCTTCAGGAACGAACGTTAAATAGCTACATATTATGTACTTCTTAGAACCATCACCTAATATATCTAATATATAGCACAGCCCTTACTGTACATAGTACGGGATGGGGCGCCAGCCCTCTTAGGTCTTTTCTCGGTGACGGCTTCTATGGGCAGATTTATAGACGTTCCTTCAGAAGTTATCTGTCCTTAGATTTCAAATAATCAAAAACGCTTCCTTGAAGAGCGTTCAAGGGAGCATTTAACATTTACATTTCCCAGAAGGCTGTAACAGTTGTCATCTCAGATTTTCAAAAAACTGCGAATTTTTGAAATATTGCCAAATGAACAAGTTCCAAAAAATTTTAAGCTGTCAAATCTTTCAATGTACTCATGATTTTTAAAATTTTTAAATTTTGAGAATATGAAAAAATTTTAAAACTGATTTTTTAAATGTCGAAAACTTACAAACTATCGCGGAATGCGAATGTTAAATTCTCCTTTGGAGGTTCAAGGAAATGCTTGTGTTTGTTCAAAATCCAAGGAGAGATTCGTCAAGCAGTAATTAATCGTCAAAAAATATCTATAAATGTAACCCTTATGTCTTTCCAACTTATACCTTTGTATACAGTACATCCATGCTATCGTTACACAAAATAACGCGCACATGCCTAAAATCTTCAAGCACATTTTTCAAATTGCTCATCCTTGTTGAAAGGTGTATCCATATTTTAAACTCGATACTGTAAATAATCAAAACTATACATATGGATCCTGAAAGCTCGTGTTAACGAGCAGCGATGTACCAAAGGAGATTAATGAAAATGTTGATGATATCCTCCAACGGTAGATAAATTGTGTAATTGAAAATATGTATTTTATTGCTTCTGCATGCTTTCGGTAGAAGAAAATGTGCAAAACAATCACTGGAATTGCAAAATATGCAAGGCCATCCTCTAAATCTATATATCTTCGATACGTTCTGCCCTTTGTCTGGAATAAGTTATTTTTTTGGAACGTACACGCTCTTACTCAAATTACGACAATCTTTTATAAGTGTGTATGTGTGTGTGTAATGAATGATATTTACAATTTTATTCATACTGATGACTTCTACATTTCCGATGAAGTTCCTCAAATATCACAAATACGAATTTGGACTTATGTACATAAGATTCATACTAGAAATACTACATACTAGGTTTTACTACACGCCACTGGAACCAGTAACGTTCAATGAGTGCTTCAATCTTTTCTCGGGTGCAAGACATTCCACTTTATGCAATAGTATGAGAAAAAATGCCCATTCTCAAGAGAAACCACAAAAGTCTCTTTTACACGGATAAATGTAACACTTTTTTAAAATTGGATAATTTGAGTTATAGCCAACTTTCGAAAAATTTGAGAAATTAGATTTTTTTAGGATAGTTCGAAGATCAAAAGCATGCACAGAAAAATTTCCAAGATCAAAAATTAAGAATCTGATATAGACCCAAACTTTTCAGAAAAACCTTTGCTCACTCTGTATAAGTGGATAAATAAGTTGGTCAAGAACCTCCCGCATATCGCCACTCGATATCTCTTTCCGAAAATATCGAGATTTGAATTTGGGTGAAATTTTCTATGTTGCAAAGCAACTGTTCGCCAGTCTAAATGTTTGTTTTGTGGGCTTTCTAAGTTATAATGTACAAAAGAATCTGATATCATCGCTTGAAAAAATTAATATGGTTCATCTCTGGGAAGTGTGTAGGAGTCTGCTGGCTTTTTATGTAAATGGAGTAATTTTTCCATCAACGAGAGGCGAAGATGTGTACTCAGAAATTGTCAATTTGCGAAAAACGTAACAATGTATGAACATCGTACTCACAGTGCTATATCAGAAACAATAAGACAATATAAATTTTGTGAATGAAACCATGTGAGTCATGATTTCGATATTCAGGTATTGTTTATAAAAATGCATTCACATCTTTTAATAGAAACCTGATCTTGATTATCAAAGAGGTGTAGTATGTGAAGTATGATTTTGAGTCCCACCTCCTCAACACCTTGAGAACACAGTGTTTTGCTCGCTAAAGATTATAAAACATGTCATTTTGTGTCTCGTGTTACCATCTGTTGACGATAAATGTTCTTTCATTTTCGTGTTGTTACGGTTTTTCTAAAAAGAGAACAGCACAAGAAACTGGCTGCCAAAAAAGGTTGCATGAAGAGCCTAAAAGCAGGTGTTGACAGGTAGCTAGCACTAGTACAAGCTCCTTCATGCCGTATGAAGTTTCTGCACCGCGTACGGACTAAAAAATAACACGAATTCGTAACTGGTTTTGTATTATGTATGCACCATCTGAACATGTGCCCTAGAGATCGGTCAAGTCGTTTCTTTTAGTGATTCGATTCCAGCGTCTACGTAGTGCACACATTGACATTTTACGGATTTTCTAATATTGCATAGGTTTTTTACGTAATTATCCTGCACTTGATGGCTTCGATGCTAACACTTAAGAAAGTCCACTGGGTTGATTTTTGCCGAACTGTTTCAGATATTGGTTTGATGTTAAATACTCCAAATGAAGAGCGATATGTAGGCGGTTTTGCGGTTGGGCGGGATTCCTCTGACTTGAGTGCCGTTTTGCCAAGACTGACCATCACTAAAAAAATTATCTGGTTTCTGAAAAGGACGATCATGAAATATCTTATATTTTTTATACCTTGCTTATACCAAGCGATCCTATTTTGACGGCCATTTTCTTTTTGTTCCAGTTTCTCAGCGGCCATCAGTTCCACGGAACAGTTAACGCACAAAGATAAGGACAACACGTATACTGTGGAGTTGAAGGATCTCAAGAAATCCTTAGAAGCTGGAGAATATGATCCTTTCAAGTATAGGGAGATCGAACATCCAACAACGTAAGTTTTTTTGAGCTTTCACATTATTTTCTTTACCACTCTATTGACGGAAGTATTGTAATCGCGAAACATTTCGAAGATGAGATATTATGCTTACATGGATGTTATATGTCACTCATTTCCGTGGATCTGTCTGACGGCATGCCCGTCCGCTCCTTTGCCTGTCTTTAACTTGGAAAGTACCGCTCCGATTTTGATGAAAAATAGTGCGCCAAGGGCGAAGCCTTGTAGTATTTGAAAATTATTCCAGTGGCGGCGCAATTAAAGGCAAAAAACGAAATAAAAACGCTCGAGTTTCGTTTTTTGACGCTTCAGAGGCCCCTGATTATTTTCAGAAATTTTTTTGAAGAAGTTAAAAATAGGGGTTGGAAATTGTAGATATTGGGGGAGGGTATAGCTGAATTTTTGGCGGTAGTGTATTTATACGCTTCAACTCCCAACAACTCTAAGTACGTATTAGTAGATATTTCACACACCATAAATTTCCTCGTACAACTAAGAATATTTTCAACAGACGCGTCGCGTATCGGGCTCGGTCGCACGTCAACCTATATGCACAAAGTCTTGTCTGCGCCTGACCGCCCACCGCTGGCGCTGGATTATGGCATGGCTGAGTGGTATGGATCAGTAGCATTGTCGGTCGATACTTTCAGTAGGATACGGAAGACATTTTCAGCATTATCTAGTGGGTAGTGACTATAGACTTATTATTGTATGAGGCAGTTTGATTGACTTGATCTGTTTATTATTTTTTTTATACCTGTTCGTAGTGAAACTTCTCCTCAAAGCGATTAACTTATGACGAACATAATCCTTGATGACCTGATGCAATTTTTTGTAGAGATATGTAACACTGTCAAGCTTGAAGAGATTCTGAGCGAAGATTATTTTTTCTTAGAAGTCGAGACTTATGTAGATTAAAACTAAACATGATGCTTTTATCCGTCCGATCAAAAAGACAGTCGACCATGGACAGCTGATTCGTGCTTCTTGGCTATTCATCAGCATTGTCTAAGCTTGGTCTCTTGTCTCTGTAAAGATGAACGAAAGCATCGCAACTATCCTCTATACGGTCTATCGAAATAAGACAGCGCAAAGCGCCATCTATCACACCAGAATCGACCACCGCGGCAAGCGCATAGCTGGTATTAGTTATTACTGTCAGGGTTCTCAGTTCACGTTTAACAGCCCAGACTGACGATTCTGGCTGTAAAGTAGATGTGGTCTGCTTACCATTGAATATAACTAAACATGATGCTTTCGTCGGTTCGACCAAAGAGACAGCCGACCATGGACAGCTGTTTTGTGCTTCTTGGCACCATCAGCATGGTCTAGCCTTGGTCTCTTGTCTCTGGACTAATGAACGACATCGCAACTATCCCCTATACCGGAGCTACGGTCTATTGAAGTAATACAGAGCAAAGCGCAATCTATCACACCAGAATGAAGATTATTTTATACGCGTATGAAAGCTACCATGTAAATAAAGTTCCATAGAACTACATCCCATTTTTGAAGTAAATACACGTGAAAATTTGCATTGCAAATTATATTGAATAGAAATGAGTTCACGCTAGCTCAGCACGCGACATCAGATAACACTGCCGTACATACCGATTGAAACAACAGGATCATGCAGATTTACTCAGTACTTCCAATGCGTGTAACGTTGCGTTGAAAACACTTTAAACTAGGGTTGTACGTAGCTAGCCTTCCTTAAATACAATTGATTCTATTCCGAAGTTAAGCTTTTTTGGCACAATTTAGACCGTAAAACTAGAAAGTGTGCTGAACATAATCTAATATGAACTGATGACAGCGTTGCGTGGGAAGTTTAGGGTCAACTTCTTGACTCCATTTATTGAGCGCCCCATGTCTTGTACCAAAGCACTTGATGTGGCTGGTATAAGATTTTTCTCCAATAATATATTATTGATATAAATTGCATTTAAACTATATGTTGGTTTAACGGGATAGTAAAAGTTTTTATTGCTTTTCGATTGTGTACACAGGATGACAATGTATATGAGAAAATTAAATTATATTTTTTTAAGTTCTGTGAATTGCGTCCCCTAAACGACTTTCATTTATAGCACTCATATTTTTTAGGCGGGTTTATCATTGTATTATGCAATTAACTTTCTTATTGTAGTGCATTTATTGTGGTGCATATTCTGTGATTTTATCCTTCTCCTTATCAGCCAACAAGTTATGTTTCGGCAATGGTGCTTTACAATTAGATATGAGCATATAAATTTTTTAATCTCGTATAATCAGAATTAAAAATGTTTTCGTCGCCTTAGACAAGCTTACAATGACTACAGTACTTTTATATTAACTAATCCATGTGGTTTTGATCAACAACAGATAAAGTGCGAGCTCTATGGATATCCATTTTTGAAAAAGGAAAAACACTCTGCTTCCATCGCCACTGGCGAGGAAGTGTATTGTAATAGCGAATAATTGAAAAATTAGTAATTATTTTTTTGGATGTTGTACGGCATGCACATCACAAGAAATCATTTCTGTCGGTCTGTCTGTCTCTCCGCTAATCCTTGGGCCGTCTATAGAAAGTCCTGCCTCGTATTTTGATAATATTTTCATACAGGGTTACTACAATGTCAAAGACGAAGACACTTTTTCGTTTTTGAAAATTGGTCCAGTGGTAGCGGAGCTAGGGTCAAAAAAACTAAAGATAAAAAATGCTTAAACTTCTTTTTTCTGACGTTCCAGCGACTCCTGATCACTTTATGGAAAAAAATGTAGGGGTTAAAAATTGGAGATTGGGAGTAGGCATGGATGATGGTATATTTCGATTTTTTGACATTAGCATATTTATACCTTTCGAACCCCGGTAATTCTAAGCATCTATTTCACATATATCAGATTCCCTTGTATGGTATATCTGAAGTCACTTGAAATAGCATAAAAACCTTTGGTCGGCGCGTCCTTTGTAATTTCATGACGTATCATAGGCGTGCGGTGATTTATTTAGAACGATAATAATAATGTTTTTATATCACAATAAATGGATTTTACTATCTTCTTATTTTTTTGATTTGGGATAATAAATACTTATATTGGGAGTTTAATTTATGTTGACTGAAAGTTAAGAAATGGAAAAATTACGGAATTCCAACGTTTGACATAGGCAAATATTTACATAGCAGGTAGGTATATAAAAAGGTATATAAAGACTTACATTATAGGTATTTATATATGATCCTCGCCTTCGGAGCTGTCGCTAGAGTCATCTTGTAGAGGAATTACAACAGGATTTACAGGAGGCAAAACACAATATTCATTTTCTTTTTCAATAATATGCCTAGAACACTGCTTCCATAGGTCTGTGGCAGCAATATGAGATACTGCATCTCTTATTGTGGCCAATAGCGATTCACTTAATTGAGGGGTCTGATTATGTTTTCTTACTTTTTTTTTTAAAGCAGCCCAGACCAACTGAATCGGGTTAAAAATGCAGTAATAGGGAGGTAGACGTAATACTTCATGGCCATTTTGCTGAAGCAGATTGTCAACAACATACTCTTTTTCAAATTTTTGTCTTTTAATAAGATCCAATAATATGGCTTTGGTTGATTTTTGTGGTATTTCCATTCCCTTATCCTTCATAAAATCAATAATGTCTTGTTTTTTTTGTGCCTGTATTCGGAATTTTGTTTTTCTGTCGGGAATGGTATGGCGCATTGTCCATAATAATCACTGAATTTGGGGAAATGTTTGGTATTAACTGCTGCTCTATCCACTTTTCAAATAAGTCGGAGGTCATGTCCTCATGATAGTCGGCACATGATTCTTTGATATTTTTGGCAGATAACAGCAAGGCATTAGGTATAAATCCATTTTCACTGCCAGCATGGAGAATAATGATTCGTTTTCCACGGTTGCATGGTGCATTTAAAATGCACTTGTTGCTGTCGTCAACCCAGCCGTACTGCACAACATCATGGGTATCATACCACGTTTCATCCAGGTAAATCAGATTTCTTTTCTGCTCTCTATAGATTTTAACTTTGTGCAAAAATTCTTGGCGCAATTCAACGATTCGAGACGACTCCATAATCACCATTCTTTTATCTAATTTTTTGTATTGAAAACCACACAGTTTTACGATACAGTGCAGTGAGTCTAAGCATTTGTAATTATAAAAATCTTCAGGATAATCTTTTAATTTATCCCGTATCATTTCCAACGTGGGCACCAAATTTTCTTTATAAAATCCGTATATTATACGACGAATATCTTCCTGAAAACCCACGTCTATTCTTTTTAATTTTTGCCCTATGCGCTTTCTGTGGAAGGAATGGTTGACTACATCTCCCCTTTTTATAACCCGATAAATGGTAGACCGACTGATTTTTGTCAGGATACAAATTCTGTTTAAAATTTGATTTTGCGAGGAATCTGGATTTTCGTTTTTCAAACAATCATACATATTTAGGATTACTCTTTGGGTCTGTTCCTCTAAATCTTTATGAAAGAATTCTGCCTGCACAGGTTCATCAACCATCTCCTCGTGGCTTGGAGCATTTTCCCAAGGTCTCCAAAGAGCCATATTTAGGACACACAAGAACAATCAACACAACAATTAAATCAATAAGTAAACTGAGTATTCAAAAGTCAAAAACACACAAACTAATAAAATCTATGAAAAAACACGGACAGACTAAAGAAAACACGTTTATTCACCGCTACTTGGCACTGGCTAAACTGTTTCAATTTTCAGTAGCCACCTGCACTTTTTCGGAGCTCTGAAATACACGCTTTCTCATTGGCTATGTCCACGCATAAGCGTGCTTTACTCCACGTGGACCGGTGAAACTGCCTTTGATCTTATACGGGGGATATTTGCTGCAAAATTTGGCGATTTTTGCAGCAACAGAGCGTGTTAAATATAGATATATAAAACGCACCCGGTATTTCACAGTGTTTCAAGTGACTTCAGATGAAGTATACATTTGCCCTTAAAACAGAATGAGAAA